GGGTGGCTCAGTCGTTAAGCGTCTGCCTTCAGCTCAGGTCATGATCCCAGGGTCCTGGGATCGAGCCCCGCATCGGGCTCCCTGCTCCGCGGGTAGCCTGCTTCTCCCTCTCCCACTCCCCCTGCTTGTGTTCCCTCTCTCGCTGTGTCTCTCTCTGTCAAATAAATTAAATAAAAAAAAAAAAAAGAAGAGTTTAACTACTCTAGTAGCTTGGATCTGGATTATGTATAGATCCAGCTGAGGATTTTTTTAAAATTTAAATTCAATTAGCCAAAATATAGTACATCATTAGTTTCAGATGTAGAGCTCAGTTGCATATAACACCCAGTGCTCATCACATCTCGAGCCCTCCTTAATGCCCATCACCCAATTACCCCATCCCCCCACCCACCTTCCCTCCAGCAACCCTCAGTTTGCTTCCCAGAGTTGAGTCTCTCATAGTTTGTCTCCCTCTCTGATTTCTTCCCAGTTTTCCGTCCCTTCCCCATGATCCTCTGTGCTGTTTCTTATATTCCACATATGAGTGAAACTACATAATTGTATTTCTCTGATTGACTTATTTCACTTAGCATAATACCCTCCAATTCCATCCATGTCGATGTAAATGGTAAATATTCATCCTTTCTGATGGCTGAGTAATATTCCACTCGGTGTGTGTATATATACCACATCTTCAAAGCAGGAAAGAATATCCAATGGAAAAAAGTCTCTTCAACAAATGGTGTTGGGAAAATTGGACAGCCACATGTAGAAGAATGAAACTGGACCATTTTCTTACACCATACACAAAGATAAATTCAAAATGGATCAAAGGCCTAAATATGAGACAGGAATCCATCAAAATCCTAGAGGAGAACATAGGCAGCAAACTCTTCGACCTCGGTCGCAGGAACTTCTTGCTAGGCACGTCTCCAAAGGCAAAGGAAACAAAAGCAAAAATGAACTCTTGGGACTTCATCAAGGTAAAAACCTTGTGCACAGCAAAGAAACCAGCCAACAAAACTAAAAGACAACCTATGGAATGGGAGAAGATATTTGCCAATGACATATCAGATAAAAGGCTAGTATCCAAGATCTATAAAAAACTTATCAAACTCAACACCCAGAAAAACAAATAATCCAGTTAAGAAATGGGCAGAAGACATGAACAGACATTTCTCCAAAGAAGACATACAAATGACCAACAGACACATGAAAAAATGTTCAAATCACTTGGCATCGAGGAATACAAATCAAAACCACACTGAGATGCCACCATACACCAGTCAGAATGGCTAAAATTAACAAGTCAGGAAACGACAAATGTTGGTGAGGACGTGGAGAAAGGGGAACCTTCTTACACTGTTGGTGGGAATGTAAGCTGGTGCAGCCACTCTGGAAAACAGTATGGAGGTTCCTCAAGAAGTTAAAAATAAAGCTACCCTTAGACCCAGCTATTGTTCTACTAGGTATTTACCCTAAAGTTACAAATGTAGTGATTGGAAGGGACACCTGCACCCCAATGTTTATAGTAGCAATATCCACAACAGCTGAGACTTTTAAATGGAGCTTGATCTCCCATCCAGAGGGAGCCTGGTTGCTCACCCCAAAAGCTGAAAAAAGGGCCAGCTGCGTTGGTGAAATTAATTTAGACGCCTCTCCACCTCTACTTCCTTCCCCCCACCCACATTGGCTCAGGTGTTCTCTCAGGGCTCTCCTGTGGAGACAAGGGCGAGCGGGGGAGAAGTTGTAGACTGGTAGTCCCCGACTTCAGGGTGCATTAGAATTGCCTGCTCAAACACAGAATGCGGCCCCGGTTTCAGATTCTGTAAGTCCAAAACGGGACAGCGCATCTGCGTGTTGATAAGGTTCACCTACGCCGCACTTTGTGGGCCACTGCTCCCAGGCTGAGTTAAGTTACTAGCTGTAGGGCACGTACGGTAAAGGAAACTGGTCGTCCTCCTCCAGGATGTAGATTGGCCTTACTAGGCATTCCCTACAGGGGGAAAGGGATAGTCCCTCTCTGTGTCCTCAGCACCTCGCACCGCGGGGGCTGCGGTTTGTGAACACGTGCTGAAGCGACCCAGAGAGAGGAGCTGTGGTCGCTGCGGAGAGGACACCCCTGCCTCCAACCCGGACCCTCGGGGGATGAATCCCCTGCTGTGGCCCAGCGAGTGTGCCAGTGGCTCTGCTGCGCGGGAAAGGACGCCTGAATGGGTCCCAGCGAAAGTAGAGGGCCGGAGGGGCAGGCGGCCCCGAGTCAGTTCTCGCGGTTAGCCGCGCAGGACCGCGGGGAACGGATGGCAAGCTGTCCGCACTCCACTGACGGCGCTCCACAACTATTAGCTGTCACGACCGATGCCAGAGCCAGCCTCTGGCTGACCAGAGGGGCAGAGAGGGCCAGCTGAGCTCACTGCAACGCCCGCACTCCGCTCTGCAGTGCCCGGGCTGCGGCCTCACAGAGGCCTGGCGGGGCTGCGAGTCTCCCAAGGGGTGGGCGTGGGGGCGGATCAGCGGAGGGGAGGGAGGGTACTGCGGGAAGGATGCGCCTGGCTGGGGGTGGAGGCCATTTTGCTGCGGGGGGGGTGTGTGTGAGGGAGGATCTGCCCCAGGCGGGTGGGGAGC